TCCTCCCCCGCCAGCTTCTCCCCCTCCTCCTTCTCCCCCAGCTTCTCCCTTCCTCCTTCTCCACCACCTTCTCCCTTCTCCCCTTCCTCCTTCTCCACCACCTTCTCCCTTCTCCCCTCCTCCTTCTCCACCAGCTTCTCCCCTTCTCCACCGCGATTACATCCGATTGGTTATAACACAAACCACGTGACAAAATATGCAAATTATCTCCTGTACCGGCCGCGAAATTTTTTTTCCCACGAGAGTTCCGGACCCACCACAGATAGTGTTTAGTAAATATATGGTGTCTATATAAGACGAACCTGGTTGGATTATAGTTAGTGTTAGGTTAAGTTCGGGTTAGGTTTAGGGTTAGGGTGTATAAATTTTACATTGTTGCTTCGAGGAAGTCGAGTGAAATGGAGTGCGCTGATTGGCTGGGGTCCGGAACTCTCGTGGGAAAAAAAATTTCGCGGCCGGTACAGGAGATAATTTGCATATTTTGTCACGTGGTTTGTGTTATAACCAATCAGATGTAATCGCGGTGGAGAAGGAGGGAGAAGCTGGTGGAGAAGGAGGAGGGGAGAAGGGAGAAGGTGGTGGAGAAGGGGGAGGGGAGAAGCTGGTGGAGAAGGAGGAGTGGGAGAAGGTGGTGGTGAAGGTGGTGGAGAAGGGAAAGGTGGTGCCAGGCAGAAGGGCAGTCCAGGCAGGGACCTGCCCTTCTGCCTGCACCACCTTCTCCCTTCTCCACCACCTTCACCACCACCTTCTCCACCACCTCCTCCTTCTCCACAGCTTCTCCTTCTTCCCTTCTTCATTCTCACCAGCTTCTCCCCCTCCTCCTTCTCCACCAGCTTCTCCCTTCCTCCTTCTCCACCACCTTTTCCCTTCTCCCCTTCCTCCTTCTCCACCAGCTTTCCCCTCCTTCTCCACTAGCTTCTCCCCCTCCTCCACCACCTTCTCCCTTCTCCCCTCCTCCTTCTCCACCAGCTTCTCCCCTCCTCTTTCTCCACCACCTTCTCCCTTCTCCCCTTCCTCCTTCTCCACCAGCTTCTCCCCTCCTCCTTCTCACCACCTTCTTCTTTCTCCCCTTCCTCCTCCTTCACCATCTTCTTCACAGCTGGAAGTGATATGCAAATTATCTCCTGTACCGGCCTGAATATAGACAAACCCTATCGACTTGGGTATTGCTTTACGCGGGTGCCAATAGGCAACTACTCGGTTGACTGGGCAAAGTGCCACCGGCACAAAAACACCGTAGGCTATCTAGCCGGTAACAACTACACTCGTTAATAGACGTAACGATATTCTATAGCACCGCCCGCCCCGCCCCCACACACAGACACACACCTACCCGTCGTAATGCTAAGTATGCCGCACACTGCGAAATGGCTTCACGCGTTGCAAAATTTTGTATGCGTGTTTCTGACAGATGTCGACCTGGTCGGTGATCCGTGATTGGCCCACTATACTCTATCTCTCTCGCTTCTCTCTTCTCTCTCTCTCTCTCTCTCTCTCTCTGCTCTCTCTCTCTCTCTCTCTCTCTCTCTCTCTCTCTCTCTCTCTCTCTCTCTCTCTCTCTCTCTCTCTCTCTGTCTCTCTTCTCTCCCTCTCTAATCTCTCATTCTCTCTCACCCAATCTCAACCTCGACTCTATCTCTATCTCGTTTCCCTATCCCATGCATTCCCTACTCCCTCTTCATCTCTCCTCCTCCATCATATATCTCTATCTCTATATTTACCCCTCCTTCTCTCTCTCTTCTCTCTCTCTTCGCGCCTCTCTCTCTCTCTCCTCTCTCAGCTCTCTTCTCTAATCTATTATTTATCGTATTCTATCTATCTATCTATTCTATTCTATCTATCTATCTATCTTATCTATCTATTCTATCTATCTACCTATCTATCTATCTATCTATCTATCTATCACCTCACCTAATGCTCGCAGGCCGTAATTTCGTCCAAGCAGTCGCTCGACACCAGCTGCCATCTCCCGCCAGATTCCGCCAGCGTCCCTGACATATTTCCCGGCATCGCCGCCGCCGCCGCCGCCGCGCCGCCGCTGCTGCTGTGCGGTCACGGTCAGTCAGTCAGCAGGTCGATACGTCCGTCCGTCACTGGTAGCGCATCATCGTGGCGTAGCAACCACCACCACGGCAGGGCATCTGTGTACGTTGTATGAAACGTTAATAGCTGTTTCCGGGGCTCGATCCCTCCCGTCTTCGCTCGTCCGTACAGACGCGGGAAGCTGAGGTCGTCTGACGATCGTCTGCGGATCTAGCAGTACTGGAAGGAGACTCACGCACGGGAGCCACGTGCAGCGTCGGTGCTGTGCCACGGGCGGTGGGTGCGTGTGTGTGTAGGGGAGGAGTAGTAACAGCAGAGCGGAGGCCGCGCGCTGTATGGCGTAACCACAAGCTGCTGCAAATGTAGGGCCCTTGCGCTTCACGTTCTCTCTGCCTTTCTCTCCTCTCTACTCGTCTCCGTCTCTCTTCTCTCCTCTCTCGCTCTCTCTCTCTCCTCTCTCTCTCACTCTCTCCCTCTCTCTCCAGTCTCCTCTCTCTCTCTCTTCTCTCTCTCTCTCTCTCTCTGCTCTCTCGCTCTCTCTCTCTCGTCTCTCTCGCTCTCTCTCTCTCTCTCTCTCTCTTCTCTCTCTCAGTCTCTCTGCTCTCTCTCTCTCTCTCTACCAGCCCTTCTCTCCTCTCTCTCTCTCTCTCTCTTACATCTGCTCTCTCTCTCTCAGCTCTCTCTCGATCATCTCTCTCTCTCTCTCTCTCTTCGTCTCTCTCTTTCCTCTCATCTCTCTCTCTACCCTTTCCTCTCCTCCCTTCTCGCTCACCCACTCACTCACTCTAATCTCGTCACTATTCGCTTGCCATATACACGCGCTGTATATAATAACAATCTTCGCCCCGCGCAGCTGGGCCGTATCCTCCGTCAGACAGGTCAACACAGGACGCGCCTTCCGCTCTCTCGTCCGGCGCTACTATACGCAACTACTGCTCATAGGGTCTATGTCCCCAGGTAGCTGCCGGAACGTACCCTGGTAACTATTTTGATATGGTTAGATTAGGCGTCTAGGGTGTTAGGCCGTTAGGAGTAGGCTAGGCGACTCCCTAGACGCCGTTAATGCGAGTAGGGCGAAGTATGAGTCCGGACATATTATATATAGTACCAGCTAGGGTACGTTCCGGCCAGTTACACGGGGGACCGATGCCCTCTCAGCCGCACTACTCTAACACGTTGAGCAGCAGCCAGCAAACCCGCGATCTGCCTGAAGATAATCATAATAGCGCGCTGATCGAAGCCGTAATGTTTTATCGAACATCCGCTGCGTATGGCATGTATACACGCACTACGATTCATTGGATGTAGAAGTCGGCTTTAACGGAGCAGTTGGCAGCATTAGCGGCGGATCGGATATGTATCATCATTGATCTTATCGACGTCCATCGTGCAAGGGATCTCCTCCCTCCCGCATGCAAGCAACTGCACGCTCGGCCACAGCAGCCAGCCAAATATATTGCTGCTAGTATCTAGAACCGCTTACATTAACTGTACCATGCAGCGCAGTTCTGTAAGGCCGGCTAAGTCTAGAGCTACCAATATATGTGCATGCTTGCTTATTCCCTTGGTTGGGCGGTCCTGGGGCCCGTTGTCCGCGTTGAATTTTTTATGTTGCGATGCGCGCTGTGTTGTGGCGAGGCCGACTGCAGTGGGCAATTAACAAATCACGCCGTCTTTTATAGTAGGGCATTGCGAAACGGTGTGTGTGGTACAGCATGCAGCCTAATCGAGAGGTATATATATGTATATCAGGGTACCATGCTAGAAATTCTAATATTTTCTGAGCAAAGAAGAAAGAAGAGGAGACGAAGAGAGTGAGAGATGAGAGAGAGAGAGAGAGAGAGAGAAGAGAGTAGAGAGAGTGAGATAGAGATAGAGAGCAGAGAGAGCAGGATGCTGATCATAACTGCACGCGGTAACGCCAGTAGTAATGTTTACATGGCTGAGAAACGTATATGCGAAACTAAACGTAGTTGAACGATTTCTGCGAATATATATAGCGTAGTAGCGTACCTCTCCATATTGAAACATTTAAGTATAAGACAAACACGTACCTGCATGGCAATGTACTCTGATAGCATGCGATGGTGTCGAGTTAGAACTAGAAGTAAACGCTGAGTCATGTGAATCTATCCGACTTTTGCCCGCGGGAAGTGAAGCGAAAAAAACGAGCGTTATTGGGACGGAAAAAGTCATCGTTACGTCATCGGGCTGTCGATCAATTTCCGCGAACACAGTTAGAACGCTAAGCGAATTTGGTTGACCTCGATGACGCTTTTCATCCGACCGACACACTCTCAGGTGAACGTACGTAAGTTCGCCGAAACGATGGACAGGTTTTTTTTGGGTGAATTTCATATCAGTTTGTTGTGTGATCCAATATAGTCTTAATAAGTTGCCTACTTCGATTGAAATTGCAACAGACTATCGGTAATATTGTCAGAACGCGCCCATAGCACTGTTTTTTTGGCGAGGAACGCGTATTTATTGTTGTCTCTAGCGTCATACGAGCCAGCAAGTCGCCGTAAATTACTATTAAAATGGAGCTAACTAGGTCTACATACAGTACAAGTACATACAGTTACAGTACATAGTTTGCATTCCCAAGCCAACGGTCCTCAAGCTCGTAATGACAGGGTTGCTGGTTAGTCAGTCTATAGGCCTTCGCGCAATTGCTACAGGCCCGTCGGCAGTGATAACGGGGACTGTGGCATTGACTAGGCCTAACAGATAAGTTACTGAGCTGAGGACCGTCTATCATCTAATGTGCCCGCCACGGTTACTGCCGGAACTTACTTGGGTTACGGTCGCTATACCTGGACGTCACACTGGTACCTATTAATATGCCGGACGTACCTCGCCTACTCACTAACAGTAAACGCAGTCTAGGGAGTCGCTTACGCCTACTCCTAACCCTACCCGTACCTATCCTAACCGATCCTAACCGTAACCCTAACGAACTACCCTGTAGGCAGCGAAACTAACCCTTGTAGGCCAGCAAACTGACCCTTGTAGGCACCGAACTAACCCTTGTAGGCAATGACTAACCCTTGTAGGCACCAAACTACCCTTGTAGGCAGCGAACTGCCCTTGTAGGCAGCGCGAACTAACCCGGCTCGTAGACAGCAAAACTGCCGCTGCTGCCCGTTAACTTTGAACCCTGATAATATAGAATAATACCGCTATAATTAATTGATTTACCAATAATACAATGCATTAAAGTTTCCTCGTAATCATTACAAAACTATTCTCATTAGACTTTTACAGTTACATCTACCAGTAAGCCCCGATGCACCACATGGGCTTTCTTCCACGGGTCCTAAACTAACTCGCTGTTGCACAATTTGCAGTAAAATGTTAGCAGCCTGGTCGTGCGCTGGTGCTGTGGGGTCGCTAAGGCTCCCACGCATTGCATAACCTCGCTTCTCATTGACCGCTGCGCAGGACGGGACCGTGATCGTCACAGGAAGCAACGACAGTCAGATATGCATCTGGACATTTCAAGGACAATGCGAGTCCGCGCGCGATGCCACGTTTTGCCGCACTAGTTCCCCTTTTGTCTGATGCCTCTGTAAATTTTGTTACGTCGTTAAGCGGAATTGGATTGTTTTTGATTTTGCGGAATGTAAACACCGTATGCTGATCGTCGAATGTAACGAAGGAGATTTTTTACGCGCCGTTCCTCACAAGTGTCGTGCTGTTTCGTGAACTGAGCCTGCGGCTCACATATTTTGGTTGCAGCTCGCACTCCGAGGGCGATACTGTTCGGACACACCGCTCGGTCACTTGCCTCGCTCAGGCGTTCCTCGCTCCAGACCAGCACCTTCTCATTAGCTCCACTGATGTCGCGGTAAAGAGCTAGAAAGTCCAGCAACAGCTGAACAAGAATACCGCGCGACGTGTGTCGTGTAGCAGGAGCGTACAAGTTGAGTGGTGTCGGGCAGTTTTCGCAATATGTCGAGTTTGGTGGACAGAGTTCACGATGTTTGATGCCAGGAAAGATGTTTCAATGCAGGAAAGTTTTCAGAGCGTAATCATGAAGAGTGTGTGAGATGTAGTCTGTATGCTGGAGCAGTAGATATTACCCTGCCTCACATATGTAGGCACTCTATTGCATGACAGCAGATACAAATTACAGGCCATTGTCTTCAGTTAATATTTAAGAGTACGTGGGCATACATGATTAATGCATAATGTAAAACTAAAAGACTAAAAGACAGTCATACGGGTATTAGCGGCCACCTGTATAGAATATATCCACTTGTTTGTAAAAGACACTTAGCATTTCGCTATTCTCCCTGACTGGCAGTTATAGGAGTCAAAGCACATGTACAATGATCACCTATCCATTTCCATTGAATGACCGATATATATATATATATATGAATGTATATACACAAGTTTTTTGACTGTAAATGTAAATATTAGGCATCGATTATCTTGATTATCTGTCGAATTCTTCCATCTCGCTCGCTCCGACGCTTATTCGCGTGATGACAACGACTACATCTCTCTCTCTCTCTCTCTCTCTCTCACTTCTTCTGCGCGCTCTCACTCTCACCGTTCTCTCTCTCTCTCTCTCTCTCTCTCTCTCTCTCTCTCTCTCTCTCTCTCACACTTCTTTTGCCGCGCTCTCTCTCTCACCGTTCTCTCTCTCTCTCGCTCCTTCCCCGCACAGTGAGATATGTGTCTGTGGGACTCGCTGATGGCCGCTGCCTCGAGCAGACGAAGTCCTCCAGCGTGCACGTGCACATTGCTCGTCTACTTATGAGCATCACGCGCGACCACCGCGCTTGTTCACGCACGGATTCTACCCGGAGATACACGTCTACGACCGATGAGCCTCACCTCATCTTCTCACTGTCGTCAAAGGTCGCTCCCGACTGGATCAGTGCCCTCACGATCCTGCACCCGCTGCGCAGGCAGGGTGGGTACGCGTGGATGGCCTGTGTGTGTGTGTGTGCCGTGCGTGCCGTTGCGTGCGTATGTTGTGCGTGCGTGGTGCGTTGCGTGCGTGCGTGCGTGCGTGTTGTGCGTGCGTGCCGTGCTCGGTGTGCGCTCTGCGTCCTTTTGCTGTCGTAGTGGCCGATCCTCGTGCAGCTCGATCAGGCCTCACGCTCCTGGCCCTAACGCGCCGCAGCAGGGTGGCGTACGCTCATATCTGAGTTCTGCCTTGGTGGTGCATGCGCGTGCGTGCGGTGCGTAGCTGTGCGTGTGTGACTGGCATCAGTGCCTCACGATTCCTGCCACCGCCTGCCGCAGCAGGGTGGGTACGCGTGGATGGCTGAGTGTGCTGTGTCTGTGCGTTGCATGCCTTGTTGCTGTGCGTGCGTGCGTTCGTTGCTGGTGCTGCTGGTGACTGGATCTCAGTTCTCACATCGTGCGTACCGCTGCGCATGTATGGGTGTGGTCATCCGTGCATGGTCATGGAGTGCGTTGTGTGCATGTAGAGTCGCGTGCGTGGCCGAGCGTTGGCGTTGCTGTTGTTCGTGAGTGCATGTGTGAGTGCGTGATCGTGGCATCGTGCACATCGTCATGGGTGGTGTGTGCATGTATGAGTGTGTGACGTGCATCCAGTCCGTCTGCACGAGTACATGGGGCGTTCAGTGTTCATGTTATGAAGTGACGTGCCGTGCACGAGTACATGGGTGCGTGTGTGCATGTATGAGTGCGTGCGTGCACTGCAGAGTACATGGGTGCGCGTGTGTGGCATGTATGAGTGCACGTTGCGTCGCATCCGTGCACGAGTCAGGGCATGCGGGTGCGTGGTTTCATGTATGACGTGCGTGCGATCTCTTGTGCGTGCATCCGTGCACGAGTACATGGGTGCGTGTGTGCATGTATGAGTGCGTGCGTGCACGAGTACATGGGTGCGTGTGTGCATGTATGAGTGCGTGCGTGCACGAGTACATGGGTGCGTGTGTGCATGTATGAGTGTGTGCGTGCATCCGTGCACGAGTACATGGGTGCGTGTGTGCATGTATGAGTGCGTGCGTGCACGAGTACATGGGTGCGTGTGTGCATGTATGAGTGCGTGCGTGCACGAGTACATGGGTGCGTGTGTGCATGTATGAGTGCGTGCGTGCATCCGTGCATGAGTACATGGGTGCGTGTGTGCATGCATGAGTGCGTGCGTGCATCCGTGCACGAGTACATGGGTGCATGTGTGCATGTATGAGTGCGTGCGTGCTTGTGTGTGTACATGGGTTTTAGAGAGACAGCAATTATGACAATAGAGTTTTCACAGTGCTCACTGAAATTTTTTAACATTTCTAGGAGAAGAGAGGTCAGTTACTATATAGTACTCGGAATGGGTTAATGATCTTTTGTCCTGTCCTGTTGACGTTATTGTCCTCTGAAGGAGTGACACACTTTTCGGATGTCAGGGGTAGAAATTAACTTTTGAACAAGGGAGTCCAACGGAACGAACTAGTTAGTATAGCAGAATTTTCAGGGAGTCACACGGTCTCCTGCATATGTCAAATCAGGGAGTCCGACAGTAAATCAGAGAGTATTTGACTCCGGACTCTCGTTAATTTTGCACCCTGGATGTGTATTAACAGATGACGTTGTGGTAGCCTTATCTAATTCTGGAACAGCGAAAGTTTGGACACTTACTGGTCAAGAAAGTAAGGTAGGTTTTCCTCTCTGTACTGTGCATGTACGTTAAAAATACGACGACAAACACAAGTAATGCACGTTTTAATAATATGGTAGCTTTGGATGATGTTCATCCATCTGAACTATGCAAGTAAAACGTATTGAGTATGGGTCATCGTAACAGGCACTTCAATTTCAACGGGAAGGTCAATTCCAGTGTTTCCCCTGCATTGACATTCTCAGCCGCCACACAGAAATTTGTTCAAAACACTGCTTCGTTGACGAAACCTTTGACAACTTGAAAAAGAGATTCAAGAGTCTCATACAAATTACACTGTGTTCAGAATAGCTCAGAATGCACCAAATTGCACCATTTTTTCAAAAGTTTCCCAGGGGAATATGCCCTCGGACGCTTTAGCTTGCCCAGCACCTGCACTGCTCGCTTTGCTAGGACCTTGAAATGCGCAAACACATCACAAAAAAACATTTACCACCTCACAGACCTTTTTGGCCAGGGGAAACACTGAATTCAACAAAAAATTGTCATGTTTGGTATGCACCATGTAGGAGCTAAATTACGATTTTTAGGTACAGCATGTGACCTAGTTTTTTCTAACCTAAATGCCCGAGTGATATTTTTTACGTCTTCTCTTCTGCTGTAGTCGTCGGATCCCATGTATGAAGACGAATCAAAACAGATCCGATGCTTGAATGCCGTCTCGCTAGTCTGTTGCCAGTACAATCAACGAACAGCATTAGTCGTCTGTTCCAAGTACTTTCAGGTATAAAGTGCAATTTAGTTTACAGTAGATTGTGATTGTGAGAGCTACAAGAATGGGGCGTTATCTTAGTATGTTCATTTACCCGTATTTGGAGTATCGTTGTTTATGTTGGTAGAGTACGCGAGTGTAGCACGTGACATTGAATTTCGCGTGCTTCCGAGATTAAACGTAAAGGTAATGGTTACTTTAACCGATCTTTCACGCTATCAAATGCTCTTGTGTTTTCTTATTCATCGCCAATGACGTCGTTCCATTTCCTTTTGTCATCACTAGGGTCTCGTCTTATTATATTTTAGTATATTTTAATATATTTGATGTTATTGGCTATTTTATTAGATATATATATTTATTCTATTTTATTGTATTTGATGTTATTTGCATTCGTTTCATGTGTACGACGCAGGCGACTTTTTTTGTCCGCGATTGGGTCTCGTCTCTTCGTCATTCATTCTTCATAGTTCTCGTCGTCTTCGTCAATCACGTTATTTGTTTAATTAATTATCAGCTAATTATCGGCTCGTTATCGGCTCGTTACAGGTGTACGATGCAGGTGACTTCTCGCTGCTCAGCGCGATGGGTTGCCCCGTCAACGAACGCTGGGCCGGCGGTGAGTTTCTCGCTACGGACCGGATCATCGTCTGGACGACGGAGGGCAAAGGTTACCTCTTCAAGCTGGCGTCAAAGTAAGGCTGGGTTTACTTTACTGGGGCCGGTTTCACGAAGCGTACTTAACTTAAGTATGATTAAATCACTAATCATAATTATCTTCCCGTAATTATGATTAGTTAATCATACTCAAAAATCTGTTTCACGAAGCGACTTAAGTACATATTTAACTAATCACATAATTAGCTACACTACTTAATTAGTTTACACTATTGATTTATGTTGGCGAATTGGCGAGTCGAACCAATTTCGCAATTCGGCAACACCGAGTTGGCGAAAATAGAATGAGTTCTAATCTCCCAACTAGTTGCTATCGATCGGTTGCTCGCGTGGCTTTCGCGTTTACACTGTCGATTGTCGGTTGTATAGTTGGAAAGTTGGTCCAATTCGCCAGTTCACCAACATAAAGTCGGTAGTGTAAACCCAGCTAAAGTGCTGTCGCGCTCTCATGCACATCGCGGCGTGGCGATGGCGTGTTTGCGACGTAGCACAGGCGCGGATTTAGGCCGGTTTGCACCGGTTTCCAGAAACCGGTCACAGTCTGGGTATCTTCAGAATTGACCCTCAAAATTCACCAGAGTGCACCAAATATAGCCTAATTTTTTTAAAATTCCAGGGGGGGCATGCCCCCGGACCCCCCTAGCTGTGACTAGAACTATGCAAACTGGTCACCCAAACCCTCTGGATTCGCCCCTGTAGAACACTCGACTTTTGAGTCGAAAGGACTGGAGTTCGAGTCCCGCCGTCATCACTCATGTGTCTGTGCAGTAGAAACTTTCGAGTGTGTAGCACATTCGACGAATCAAAAGACTCGATAAATTGAAAGGACTGTTGTTTCCGGTCCTATACCGTGGTCACTGATGTGTATGATGCGGTAGACACTTTATCCCGATTTGCATCCGACGTCGAGGCCAGCTGTAGAAATGGGTTCGTCTAGCCGGCGTGAGTTCGGTAACCTCATTCGTGTAGCAGGAGCTAGCCAGGAAGTAGGCGAGCAAGGAGCTTTACCAGACAAAACCTGTTAGCGAAACTAAGTTTCTGAAAGCGTCTATGCTTATTATTATTATTATTATTATTATTATTATTATTATTATTATTATTACTAAAGCTTTATTGCATGTAATTCAAATTCAAATATGTATTGAAGACAGTCTTTTTCATGGAGAACAAATCTGATAAATGCAATAGTATTGAGCTGTTAAAATAACAAAATTTTTGAGGGACACAGTACAAAACAGTGCTAAACAACATTAAGGGAAAATATTACAAAAAAACGTCTGTTTCATTATTAGAGCTTAAAAACACACCGAAACGGAACAGCAATGGCCTTTCGAGATCGCGTGCGAACATGCGTTTGCACGACGCACCCGTTTTATCGGCCGAGAGAAAAAATTCAATGCGCGCGAGTTGGAGATTGTCGGTTGTCTTTCGTCGCGTGACCGCGCGTGCTTTGCGTGATTTTTCAGCTGCGTTGCCGACCACAAGGACTTCCGATCGCGCGTCGGCCATCTTGCTGAGACCGACCAGCTGCCGATGCTGTACTGCGTTGCGGAGCCGGCAGACGAGAGGGTGAGTGCTTATTGGCGCGTTTGTTTGGGACGAATCCGTCGGATCGCGATCATGTGATCCTGATCCGACCAAACAAACGCAAACTCACTTTCAACGGTTAACGTTTCGCTGTGACCTATCACGGGATGGTTCATAACAAAGAACAATCTGTGATTGGCTGAGGCGCGGGCCGCCATATTGGATCCCGTTCGAATCCGCCTCGCTAGCAGGGTCGGGTTCAGTGGATCGAGATCAAGTGATCCGACCAAACAAACAGTCAGCTCAACGAATCCATTGGATCGAGATCCGTGGATCCGACCAAACAAACGCGCCCCATGTTCTTCCTTACGTTTGTGCTTGCCGGTTAACCCGTACCTTTATGTGTCTAATTCTCTCAATGTGTCACACAAAAACGATTCCCCCATCTCATTCATTGAAAGTATAGTATAAGTATGTATATCTATGTGTATAAATAAATATATATATATATATATCTTCATCTGTATCTACATGGGTGTCTATATATATATATATATATTCAGTATGAATATAAGTTTATTATGTTAGTTAACCATGAGAATATATAACGGTCTGCGCGAACCCGCGTTATCTTCCCGCCTCCCCGCCGAACCCCCCGCCTCACGCGTCGTCTGTTCTATCGCGCGATACTACTCGGGCCACAAGGGCTGTCTCACTTCCCGCCTCCCCGCCAAACCCCCTCGACTACCCTCGCCGAATCACCAGCCCACGCCCTACGCGGTTGGTTTCAGTCTCTCCGATAGCCGCATCTGCAGGCCGTTCATAAGATTACTTGCTCCCGCCCATACGCGCAATATCTACCCCGGCCGAACAAGGGCCCCCGACAAAGTGGTGTTTGATTCGCCGTCGCCTGGAGGCACTAGCATTGAGAGGGCCACGTCCTGCCCTGGAGGGCATCGGATCGGGAGGAATCGC